AGCAGCATGAGGTAATGTGTAAAAACCATGAATAAATATAGCCATATACACATTTCAGATTATATGTGATTTATAACTATTCAGCAACTGCCACAAACTCAGATCACAATCCAAATAATCCTGCACACAAGCCAAAAATATTAATTATGTATGTATATATTGTGTGTGATTGTATTTGATTTCTTCTTGCCTTTAAGAACAGAATCAGGAAGGAAAACTTGAATGGGAAGGAGGGAAAGGTTAACACCTTGCTTTTTACTGCTACAACCACAAATTGTTAACAGATACATCTGATCAACAAGTTAATTCTTCCGTTCAACTGATACAAGAATAGTTTATACAATATTCAACTAGAAAACAAAAAAAATAAGTTCTAAGGAACAAACCTTTCTTTGTACTATAAGATACCAAATTATATCTGAGTAGAACTGTCTATTTCCATCAAGTCAGATTTACTACTGGCAAGTAATGGCAAAATTGATGCATGAAAGGAATTATTATGAGGTAAGTGATCAAAAGAATTAACAACAGCACTAAACATTTTAGTTCATATATTATTCCTTTACAAGCAAATATGCAAAGTTGAAAATATACAGAAGAAGGCACTAATATAACATGCTGTATTATGTTATAGATAATATTTGAAGTAAATAATTGGAATATGTTTTTAGAATCGGGAAGCTAATACTTAGTGACATTTTTTTGAATTTTGTTGTCACTGGGAGCAACAGCATTTGAATTTCAGAAGAACTTTATCACTGAATTGTCTGACTGTGGTCAAGTTATGTAATTAAGAGGTCACGGCAGTGTTTTTTGTACCTTTCATCAGTTTTTAACAATACTGACCAGAGTACATGTTTATATTCTCCATCTCCCATGAAAACTGGAGGTTTCTGTGCCTACAGTTCAACATGACCAATTGGTTCGAAAAGATTGTGCTGGAGGGTTGCTGTTTTACTCCACTATACACTGTACAAGATTTCTACAAAATTTCATTTGCCAATAGTACTTAAAATCTACTTGACATTACTAATGTCAACAGGAAATCTACAGTAAATTCTTATACCATAAAACAAAGAAAAAAAACCCACCCAAAACCTTTCTGCAGCCTTTTCATTAAGTTTAAAAAGACTGCAGATGCGCTGAACCAAGTGCTCAGGGTTGAAAATAAGCTGGAAGAAAGTCAGTAAGCAGAAGTTAACAAGAATGCAGAAATGTAAGAACTCTGTCAGATTATATTAAAAGTGAAGGCATAGATTATTCTCATTGTGACCTACTAACAACTGTAGTTTTTCTTATTTATGGTTTACATATTTTATTTAACAGAATGACAGAGTTGGAAGGGCCTCTTATTTATGTGCCATCCAACATCACACTGAACTCAACCATCTAACATTGCAGCACATTGGCTGCCAAAATGTAAAAGGATGGTCTGGGTAGTTTAACAAACGTTAACTGATACACCAAAGGTAGTCCTCTTAGGAGGTCTCCACACCGCGGTAACACAGACACTGAACTAAAATGATATTTGGTTTATTTGGGTCTACTTTAAGATCCTATTCAGTAATTTAAATTAATTCAGAGTGCAGCATTAAGAATGTTATCTAATGTAACAAACATATTATTTAGATAACTTTATTATATTCAACTAGCTTCCAATTATTACTAATAAATAAATAAATAGGCAGGCTCAGAACAAGGATTTTAGATCATGTTTAATGGCTCCATTCATATAACCTGGTGAGATGGATTGCAATCATAGGTTTCAAAGTTGCCTTTGCTACAACTTTTGCTGGAAATTTTTACTCCTTGTTTTCACTAAAGCTCCAACATTATTTTCACTAAAGCTTCAACAGGTTAAAATTGTTTTATTTATTTCCCGTCATTTTCGTTTGGCATTTAACTATTTATTGTTCATTTTGATTATATGGTAAAACTATCAGAAATGCAACTGTGAAGTAGATTAGAAATATTTTAAGTCATTTCAGGACATTTTCTTATTTTAAAATATTATTGCAAAAAGTAATGGCAATTCTAATGAGTTTATATGTCTATTTAGAACAATTGTGAAAATAAACCATGTCACATGCATGCATAAAGTAAACTGTTATGATGAACAAATGTTTAGAGATTCACCATGTGTAGCCTACACCATATAATTAGCAAGGAATGTTTCCATAATATGGTAGAAAGCCATATTACTAATTCTTTGCTTAAGAATATTTTAATGCATTTTATTGGCTCAAGTTATGTTAAGGTTTCTCATTTTTATACCTCATAAAAGCCACCAGAACCCTTTGCCCCCTTTGCTTAAAATATTGAATTTATCTTAGAAGAAATACTTATAGATTATGGCATTACTAGGAAACTAAGTCATGCAATAGGAAGATTATGTAGCCTCCAGGGTATGGGGGGGGGGGGGGGAAGGGGGAGATAGAATGATTTGATTGAACATGCAAAGAATTTAAGATGGTATACCTGGATATAGAAAATTAAATAAGCACTATGTTAAATATTGAACAATTCTTTAATTATGGCAAAATATGTATATTATTCTATAATTCAATAAACAACTATGATGAATTAATCAAAATATTAATTTATATGGTATAAAAGATACAAAATCGTGATATTTAGTCATTGGCTTCACAATAAATTCTATATTCAATGAATACACATGCTCGCTTTTATCAAATCTTTTTCAACTACTCAGCACTCTATTGTAGCCCTCTTCTTGAGCACGTCATATATTAGAAAGGCATGATGGTGGAGCTCTTTTTGACATTTTAATTGTTCACTAAAAGAACAGATTTGAGGTATAAAAAAACTGATACCAATCGTTCAGAAATGAAGAGTTTTCTTCAAGTTGTTCCCTATTGTAAAAACATTAAACAAACAGATCTATATTAAATGCAAGCTGCACTGGTTGCCAGTAGGCTTCTGGGTCCAAAAAGTATTGGTTTTGAGCTTTAAAATCCATCATGGTGTGGGGCTGGGTTATTTGAGGAACCACCTCTTCCTGATTTTACCTGCCCAACCCATCATGAGGTATGTTGCAGCTCTTGTATGGGACTGAAGGAGTCTGGCCTTTTCTATGATGGCGTCCACCCTATGGATATCAACACACACAAACAAACACATGCGCCCAAGGTGAGGTTGGCCCCATCCGTGCTAACAGATTTGGTTGTGTCAGTAGGCCTGGAAGTCTCAAGGGAATAAGTTGATACTCTTTTTGCCTCTTAATCATAATATTGGTGTTTTTAATTATTATTTTTATGTTGCTGCTTTATTATTTTTTATTGTATGTCGTCCAGAGTCATATTTTGTGAAATGGGCAGCCATACAAGTATGAAAATAAATAAATAAATAACTTCCCTTTCCCACGTCACATAAATTATTTATGTTGGACAGATTCAATGCAATCTGTAAGTATAGCTTATTTGATAGGATGCCAAATGAATCCTTCCAAATGCTGTATTTACCTTGAATGTTATAATCCTCTGAAAATCAAAGGACTTGAAAGGGAATACTTATTGATATATTGTCCTACAAAGCCTCCAAGACTAGTGAGATACATTTATCATTGAGTTAACTCAATTTACAGAAACTGAAGTATATCAAATATTCTTTGATGTCGCTACATATGACATTGTTCATCATTATGACCAGCTGTAGTCCAGACACATTTAAAAGCATCAAACAGGGAGAGTCACATTATTATTATTTTATTCTTGCTTATGGATATTCCAGAACACCAAAGTGCTGATAAAGATATATATTTTTTCCTTTTTAATCTGATATATAATTATATCTACTAGAAAATTTCTACCCTTCAAATCCTATGCCTCAATGGCTCTAACTATTTAAAATAGTATTTTAAAAATACGAAAGCACATACTTACGCAGGTCAAATAATTGTTTTAAAGCAATGGCTTTCCAGAAAAGAACATGGCTTAAATTAAAATTAAAAAAGGATATAAAATCTCATCTTTCTATTTCTTTTCTCTGAGAAGCACTGGAGATCCATTACATTATAAAACATACTCATGCACAGCAATGTTGTAAGAGATTAACAATGCTTTGAGATGATACCCATATGTGCTGTCTACAACCATGCCAAAACAAGGCATATTGTTGAACAATAATGTTAGCCTAATCAGAGTTTAACGTATAGTTATAATAGTCCAAAGAATAGCATAAAGCTGGTCAGCTCTGTAGGAAATGCTAAGCCACTATAAATAATTCTCTTTACTCACCATTCATTTATTTGAATATTAATATATAAGAAACTGCATCACTGAAGTATATCGTAACTAAAATTTAAAAATCTGATTGTTATAGCATTGCAACTCGCAGAGATAAAGGGATATTACACTGCCTAGAGGCAGCTGTATCATCAAAAATGTCAAATTCAGTATATTTTTCTAAGCATGTGATCAGACAATGAAACTACAGTTGTGCAAATATGAGGAATTTTTTTTGTTAATAAAATAAATTAAATACCCACCTAATTTTGCTTCAGAAGTATCCATCTCCCATTTGCTTTTCGGAATGTAACCCTAAATCATATACAGAGAGAAGCTCGAAGGATTAGAGAGAGATACAGAAAGCATATAACATATTTTATCCTGCAACAGAATTATACTGCAAACATTTTCTTAAGATACTCAATCTGAACTGTAAACTTGATATGGAATTGTAAAATGTTGTAATGTGAAAAATATTCAGTCACTCTGCATCCAGCACAAGAGTGTCTCCCTCAATAAGAGTATCTTACAATAATTTCACGACAGGAGTGTATCTCACAATAATAAGGTATGACATATTTCTCAGTGTGGCGTGTGTTGCATGATCAGAATTCATGTATGTGCCTCAGCAATTTCCACATAATATTCTCTTCACAGGTCATCTTTGTATATGGAGACACAGTGTGGGATGAACACTTCAGAAGCCCACTATATAAGCATGAATGTCTCTGGCAATTATTTGCTTTTTTATTTCTAGGGAGCCTTCCACAAATGTTTGTTTAAAAAGGTCCCCTAAAATTGCTTCTTTTTTTCCATTAGTATGGGTTTCTGCATTTTAGTCCAGCCTTCAATATGTATTTTTTAAGAAACAGAAAAGAACTTAATCACAAAAAAACACGTCTTACTGGATACAAAAATTGATTGGAAACCCCCCCCCCCCAGGTAAAACCAGTAGAAATGACAGAAAGCATTTATTAATAGAAATCTCATGTTTGTTAGTTATCAAAAATATGTAACACGTTAACTTCAACGGTCTGATCAAGCAGAGTACATAATAGAGCAGGCAGGATATCACAAGCGACCCACAGTTTCAAAAAGATGAAATTTCACTGATCAGCTATTTAGAGATTAGATCCATTTTCTGTTTTTCCTTCTGAACAGCTGATGGCATATTTCCAACTTTGGCATTTGGATGGGAAACCAATGCAGCAAGGGGGCACGTGTGCGTGTGTGCAGGATTCCTCATCCAACCAGGGACATGTACTTGTTTCCTAGTTAATTAGGGTGAAGGACTAATAGTAAAATTATAACCCAATAGCTCAGTCATTGTTTAATACACTTTATTCAATACAACTGTTGGTTCAAATTGATTTAAAGTGTAATGTGTATAAATAGAAATATTGCTGTTTGATAGGCTGCCTGATTTAGAAATAGATTGTGTCAAATATTTGGAATGTAGACTGCAGCTCTTAGGCACTGCTTGATCTGAAGCCACTTTCAACTGCAAGAAGTATGAACACTTTTTAGCAGCTTAGACTTTAGCAACATTGTTTTCTGGAACTGTATGCTTATGTTCTATGAACTTCCATATTCCATTTCTTTAACAGGTTGCCCTTGAAAAATGTCTGGAAAGGCTGAGGAAAAAAGTTGCTGGCTTCAGGTTCAGATCAAAATGCTGATTCTTGTACACATACCATCATGTTCTTTTTGCTCTCAGTATCTGAAATTTGGCAGCTGTCTAAGAGAAGCCAGATATGTTTACTACAGGTAGCAGCAGTATAGAATATCACAGTATTTAATTCTCAGGTGCTAGTTGAAATCCTGGCACTTTAGGGTGGAATGACTGTGTTGTCCATTTATTTTTTTTCTTCATATGCGTTATTCCATAGGCAATTATCTTCCTGGTTTCTGAAGATTTGACTGAAATGGCCATGTTACTATTATTTGTTCTATAATGTACTTTGGAGATGGATGTTTATGTTGGTAACTGAGATATTTAGTTATTTATATTTACATAATTTGCTCCGTGAAAAGCAATTAACTTAATTCAGTATTTTTCTTTTTCATAAGAATACATTCATTTGGAAGAATAAACTCTGAAAGAAAAATTCCATGTTGGAAATTTTTGAGGAAAGGAGACAATGGAAAAACAGTACAGGAAAGTGTTCTATACTGCAATTATAGTTCTGCTTTTTCTTTGTATATTTGGTTTTCTTGATTATTTTAGTCTTCTAAAAAGGAAGTACAATTCAGAAGGAATAAAATCAGTATCCACTCTCAAGCCGGCAGGTATGTGATTCCAACATAAAAATGTTAAGAACTTGAAATGTAGAATGCGTAAGAATGAAAAGACTTGTATCACTGGTCCAATTAAAAGAAGCATTATTTAATTTAAAAAGCTCATGTTATTAATATTTAAATTTTATTCACCTGAACAGTGATAATTACTAATCTTGAAGGCTTTAAGAGAATGTGATATGCTCATGGATAACAGGGATTCAAAAGCATATGGACATAGCCATTTCTAGAATAAGAGACTGCATTTTTTCTGACCAATGACTGAAACACACAGTGATCAAGGGCTATGTTCTGTAGGCTTTCCATAATATTTACTTGACTACTATAGGAACCAGGACACTGGATTAAAAAAGTTGGTGTGGTCCAGCAGTTTTTCAAAGATGTAGTCATAATTCTCATGAGGAAAGTAAATATTTACCACAAGAAAATCTAGACAGCTAAAGAGAAATTGCCTATGGAATGAATGGAATGAAATTTCTTCCATTCAGAAGAAACAGTTTCAAACTCCTTTCACAGTAAAATTCCTGCCCATTTTGGGAGCAGATAATCAGAATCCTGGATAAAAGGTTTTAATTTCTAAAATCAAAACTTTTAGCAATCCACAAGACTTTAAAAAGAAAATATAGTTACGAGAGGGCGGAGCTGGTGTTGCAGCGGTACAGCATGCAATCTTTAAGTTCTAAGATCGCTGCTGATACCTCCGTTGCACGACGGTACCAACGGACCTAAACCGTCCCGTAGAGGCAGTGACTGAGGGCACATCCTGTTGATCCCAGGGACATTGCAAAGTCCCTGGTAGATCCAGGAGAAGCCCTTTTTTCCCGCAGCGGAGAGGCAGCCCTTAAAGCTGCTGAAGCTGGGACAGCTCCGGAACGGAAGAAAGCTGGAAAGAAAATGTGTCAGTTTGGTGAAATAATTTTCTACTTATTTTTTTCTGGAGAGAATACCCTAAAAGACTAAAAATTAAATTTAAAAGTGAAGATAAAAGTGCTCAAGTGGCGAGATTAAGCACAAATTAAACCTGAAGGTTTTTTTTTCTTTTTTCTTTGGATTTTTGTAAATTTGTAAAAAGAAATTCAATTTTTAAACTGGACTGGTCTTTTCTTTTTAATTTTAATTTTTTCCGTTCAAAATAACTTTTTGGAAAAGTTTTTTTTCCTCGTTTCTTCTCTTTAATAATTTTAGACTCTTTTTATTTTTTTATTCCTGGTTTTAATATTAGAGGGGAAGGGAAAGGAAAGGGAAATAAGTAGCACTGCCACCTGGAGGCTTGGATACATTGTTTTCCTTTCTTTCTTGTTGATACATTTGGTGCTACATTCAAGAACTTTGTGCTTTTCATTGAAAAGATAGTGGGAAAAGCATGTAGATTGTTTGCAGGTGCTCTTCTGTGGAACTACTGATAGCTGGAGTCTGGATTTGAAATTGAAGAAAGAAGATTGAAGTGACCTTGAAAAGAGAACTGAAAATTTTGGTTTTTTTGATTTAGTAAAGAGCCTCGAACATTTGCTTACAGACATTATTGCATTTTCTCTTTCCCTTTTTTTCTACTCCCCGCAGTTGGATTTTTATATTTGGACTTGAGTCCTTTGATGCAGGATTAAGACTACTTTTTCCCTCCTCCCCTTGTTCTACCCTTTTAGCAAGGGGAATATACAGATTTCTGACTTTTTAATTTTTTTCCTAATTTTTTTTATTTTTTCATCCTTTTTCAATTTTCCATTTTTTTCTTTTTTTCCTTTTTTTTTCTACATAATTGGAACCAATTGGATTAAGGTATTCAAGTGCCTGAAGATTTTTTCCCTTCCCTTTTTATTTTTTGCTTTTTTTTTTTTATTGGAGTGGCAGTTGGTTGCTCTTGCTTTTTCTTCTCAATTTTCCTATTAAGTATTCTAAGATGAGCAGAAAGATACCAGCCTCAGCTTCTTCAATCCCGATTTCTTCCTCCTCACCATCTGGAGGACAACAATCAATACAGGTGATGTTACAACAAGAGAAGGAGAAAGAAGTGACACTGCAGATGATTATGCAAGGAATTCAAAAGAGACAAGTAAAAACAGATAATATTGAAAAGAGAACAGAGAATATTGAGCAAAGAACTGAAAAGACAGATGAGAAAATTGAATATTCAATAGATGATAATGCAATACAAGGACAGAATCAAGAAAATTGAAGAACAAGATGTACAAAGAGATAAGAAGATTGGAGATATGGATACCTGATTGAGTGAAGTGGAAAGAGACAAGGGCATATCTCTGCAATCATTGAGATGGGAAATTGATAGACCAGAATTCTATCTTAGATTTCAAAATATAGAAGAAGAAAAGGCTGAAAATCTTGCTGAAATGATGACAGAAATCCTGGCAGAAGCATTAGAGGTAACTAAAAGAGAAGATGATGGATGGAATGGACAAGGTTTTTCGTGTCTATACAAGATATGCGATGAGAAATAAATTGCCAAGAGAAGTTCATATCAGATTTACTAAGAAAATAATTAAATCACAAATACTGCAGGCGACAAGAGAAAAAGCACTAAAGTACAAAGATAAAGAAATAGTGCTACTGAAACAGGTACCAAGAAGAGTGAGAGAGATAAGAAGAGAATATTTATTCTTGACCAAAGAGTTACTTAAGAGAGGAATAAATTACAGATGGCTGATACCAGAAGGTCTCATGTTTACCTGGCAGGAACAAAGACACAGAATTGATACAGTTGAAAAAGCTGAGTTATTCTATCTGGAATATTTCAGAGGAAGGGAGGAAGATACAAGAAAAGAAGAGTCGTTAATTGAATTTCAAGAGGAATGTATAGCAGTAATTGAAAAAGAATAAGGAGCTGTAGGTGGTGTACCCAGAGAGCAACAAGAACCAAGATCTACCAGAGCAACAAATCAGTCTTACAGTCTAAAATGGATGAGAGAAAACTGATTACAATTAATATAAATGGACTTAATCCAGCTACTAAAAGAAGAAAAATATTTTATAAGTTAGAGAAATTAAAATTTGATATAATC